ATATCAATCATATAGTTAAATAGAAATAAAATATGATATGATGAAATGTAATAATATGAAGAGCTCGTTGTAACATAAATTCATCTAATAGTTGTGTCAGGTACCCCAATGTGAATAGCGCACGCCCTTGACGGCCGCTGATTAGAAATTAATTTTCCAAATTCTTATGTTTTGAATTTAACTGTGACAATTTACAAATTCGGCGTGATGTAGGCAGACGAAATTCGCGTTCCGAGAGATGGATAAAAAACTATAAAGTCCTCAGCGTTATAGGGACTCATAGAAGAGTGCGTCACAGTTTCCAAGTGAATCACCCAGGAACCTCTTACATTCTCGGGAGAAAACTCCTTATAAATTTTTTATCGAGCCCTGGGGATCATCAGGAAGCCTATAATGTTCCCAGGAGGCGAAACTCATTTTGAATTTTCCACACATGGCTAGGAAGACGTTCTTCAATCAGTTTCCCATGTAAATGTCATTAGAAACACGTTATTCCGCCAAGCTGTATGAATATCAACTTCTACCCAAAAATTGTCTCCAAAGATCTCCCTGATGTTGGTCAAAATCGACCCCGAATCGTAAAACCGAGGCCCTATAGGGCACCACGTCTTCGGCGCGATTTCCAAAAACCTAACAAGTCGATTTAGTCTTTCCAAGAGTGGCAATCTCACTCAGCCTTATATGGACGTTTCTCAAGGAAAGTTACATTTCGCATGATCTGTCCACACTGCCCCCAAAACATAAAGGCCAGGGCTATCAGAGCACCAAAGGTCGCCAGTAGCATCAGAGTGGCCCCACCGGCACAGGACTGAGTATCAACGCAGAAACTTACAGTGTGAACAACAACCAAACCGTTATTATGCCAAGTAATATTTCAGTCAACGTTGAGTAATATCAACATGATAACAATGTGAATCGATTGACACCAACGTTTTAGAAGCGTTCCGTAGTCTATATTCGTATTACTCTCGAATTGAAGAAAGCCATCTCGAAAATCTACATATGCATAACTGTTTGCTTCGCACTGCACAGAATTTCCAGAACAATTTAATTTTCTACCCATTTGGTTAATTCTCGCACATCTTCGGTAGATTTGGATTCCCTAGCCGTGTTGGAGTATAAAAATATGTTCGCTTTCCTCAGCTGAGCTCAGGAGCTTCCTCACTAATTATCAACCTTCACATACAAATTCAGATAGAAATTTCCTCAGAATTTTCATATTTCCCCCCCCCCCCCCCCAAACTTACAGGAATTATGGTACTCAAGTGCACATAGAGGCCAAGGGGCAGAGCAAAGTGACCGTACGTTACATACTGCCAAGTGTTGAGCTTAACCCCTAGGAAGAGATTGGGGAACCCCTCCTTAAGAAGGACGGTCGACCAGATCATGTATCTCGACGGGAAAAAGATAAATTGGAGTTTCACCCGTTTAACGTGAAGTGGTGTAATACTCTGCGAAAAACGCGATGTTCGCGGCGATATGCAGCAGTCGTGAAATATGTTGTTTCACTAGTGCTTTTCATATCACTAGGGTGAACCTCTACTGATGAGAAAGAAAAAACCTTACTGTGCATAGTGTGAAACTCGGTGAAAAACTCGATATTCGCGGCGCTATGCAGTAGTTGTGAAATATGTTGTTTCACTAGTGTTTTTCATATCACTAGGGTAAAACTCCATTGATGAGAAGAGACTTACTGTGCATAATGTAATACTCTGTGAAAAACCCGATATTCGCAGTAGTCGTGAACTATGTTTTTCACTAGGGTTTTTCATATCACTAGGGTGAACCTCCACTGATAAGAAGACACTTACTGTGCATAGACGCAAGCTGCCGAGCCAAATATGAATACCAATATGAACGACCCCTGATTGCGAGCGCCAATGCAGTTTCCTGAAGAGCATCGCTACTAAAACAGCCGACTAACTCTCTGTGATGTATTAAAGTACGACTACCCTCGAAATGCGAGGAAAACATGCACATGTGTTGGTGACAGTGTAAGCAAAATCGTGTTGGTTTCTGTACACTTCCACCCAGATTCGTATATAAACTACCAAAATCAGTGAGGACACTCCTGAACTCAGCTGAAAAAAGCCAACATATATTCCTCCAACAGTAGTTTCTACTATGGAATTTTACTTTCAAATATTCTACAAAATGCCGATACACCTGTATGGCATTGCTTCCTACTAGGAGGAAAGGCAGTGTGGGAGGAAAATATGCACATGGTCAACTACATGGGTTGGTAACAATATAAAACCTGGGGAATTTCCCATTGCTTTCTATACACTTCTACACAAATTCATACATCAACTTTTCGAAATATATATTCCTCCAACACTGTTGCTAAACTACCCTGGTGTAACACTCAGAAGTTTTCTTAGGCAGTCTGGGAGGAAAATATGCACATGGTCAACTACATGTACTAGTAACAATATAAAACCTGGGGAATTTCCCATTGCTTTCTATACACTTCTACACGCATGAACTCTTCGAAATAAATATTCCTGCAACACTGTTGCTGAGCTCACCGGTGACATCACAGTGATGGTCCATTCGATCCACACATCGTTTACACTTGGAACAATGATGAGCACGTGGTGGTTTGTAACTGACAAGTGACCACTTCAACGGCCAGTGTCTTAGTTTTCATCAGCTCAGCTCAGCTCAGTAGTTTCCTTAGTAATTGTGATAGAAGTTAATATACACATTCGCGGAGAAACATACAGCAGTCAACAGTAATCTCCCAAA